CTAAACTAAACTAAACTAAACTTTTGGTTTTTACACTCTGACCTGTTGCCAGTTGTATACATGCCATTTATGTTATCTTCAAATGCTTTCACTTCAATATCCAAATCCTTTAAAAATTGTATATGCTGTGTTATCTCTGAACACATTTCTGACAATACCATGAACTCCACCTCAGCTGTGGAAATGGCAATTGAAGTCTGTTCTCTAGATTTCCAACCAACTAGTGTGCCTGCAAACATTACAATAAATCCTGAAATGTACTTTTTATCTTGTACATCATTAGCTCAATCATTGTCTACAAAAAATTTCAATGAAAATTCATTTAATGGTTGCAAATGCAATGCAAAATCCATAATTCCCTTTGTTTATGCTTTGGGCAACTAACCTTGCTTTATATTGTACTTGATTCATCAACCAGATTCATCAAAAGTTTTTTTTTGTACACCCATCTCCACCCAACAACTTTTTTGTCCCTCTGGCAACCTCATTGGAGCAAAAACCTTATGTGTCTGCATAGATAACATTTCTTCATCCATTTCCTCTTTCCATATCTTTTGTTGTGGTGGAGGTACTGTATTTTTCAGAGTATAAGATGCACCGGAGTATAAGACGCACCAGGATTTTGAAGAGGCAAATTAAACAAAAAAGTTTTTGCACTCTGAGACATCCCAAAAATGACCCGTTTTTCACAAAAGCGGGCCCGTTTTTTTTGTTTTAAAAAAAGGGCTTGAATACCTTTGCAGGCTTGCAGAGTGCTCGGGGGGGGGGGGCGCAAAATTGAGCAAAAAAGGGCCAGTTTTTTGCTCCTTTCTGCCTCCCCCAGCCCTTCTAAGGTCTATTCACGGCCATTTTGGGGAAGGGCCAGGGTTTGGGGAGGCCAAAAATGCTGTATTCAGTGTATAAGATGCACCCAGATTTTCACCCTCTTTTTTGAGGGAAAAAGCTGCATCTTATACTAAGAAAAATACAGTGAATTTAATACTTCTATGTAATTTGGGGTAAATTACATACTTTTACCTCATCTGCTATGAATCTGGATAAACACTTTTGTTCTTTCAGAACTCCTTGGAATAAAGCATTTGTCAGCGTTCCAAATATCATGCAGAATTAAATCAGAGTCCAAGGCAGAGCTATCCTT